TATATATATTATCTTTTATAACATCTTTGTATTATCTTTTTATATTATCTTTTATATTATTTTATGTTCTTTAATCTTTCCGACATTATTTTATATGTTCTTTCAATCCGCTTCATGTGTTTTGCTTATAATCTATCTTTTGTGGCTTATAATTATTCTTTCTAATCGTTCTTATTGTTAAAGATTGCTAAGCCGCAATTGATCGACTCTATTTATCCTATTGGTTCTTTGTCAATCATTTGATAAATATTACATCATGTAGATCATTACTCTTCCTAAATGTTTATCCTTTTCGGCTAATTATTTATCCATCTATGCCAATTCATAATCAATTTGTTCGTTCTTAATATTTGGCAATTACATTTGGTGATTGAATTTTATCATCTTTTCATGCTTGATATTTGACCGTTTACACTGCAGTAAATAGCGTAGGTTTCGTTTTTAGTTTTATTTTATAAACACTTCTAAGGGGAAGAGGCCCTGAAGGGCGCCTCGGGTATAAGATGAGGTTTTATTATTCTTACCATACCCAAACCCAAGGGAACATGTCCTCTTTTCCTCACATAGACGAGTATGAACGTTACGAAAAAATAAGTAATGGTTTTACTAACCTAAACCAACACTCTAATAATAGAGTATTAGACAAAGTTTTTACTCCTAAAGATATTATATCTCACGCTCTTTCAACTCCTTCTTACACCTCTCATAGTAAAAAACCTTTTAATGAACCTTCTTCTTCTTTTTCTTCGCTGGTGGGAAAATTTCTGTTGAAAGTTTCTTTTTCCAAATTTCACGTGACCCGTCCAAATCGGGCTGGATACAATAAGATTTATGAAATCAGATGATCAAGAAGTTACTTTTTCGAGTTATATGATCTACCTAAAGACACCAATGATATTCATCTTAAAATTTACACAAATGATTATCATATGAAAAGTACCCCTATTTTTTACCGCAATATGAGCTCAACGCCGAATGACAAATATAAAATTAGTTGTATGCTTACACACTTTTTTTCCTCACAAAGAGTATTACCTCGCAAAATACAACAAAAATTTTTCCCTTTATACGAGATAGATTATTGGCTCGAAAAGAAATGATTTCATCATGTGCTAATAGTTCACGTGAATGTAATATTATGACTAGAACCTTTTTTAATTTTACATACAAAAAATACCGTTTTCACTTCGGAATATATATCCCTTGTTCCCAAGTACCTTCGCCCTCACAGTTCTACACTCCTTGTGAAAAATGTCACGTTCCTAGCCCCTTTGTTATATCTCAATGTAGACGCGCATGTGTTATGCATCAACAGTCTTTCTTTCAAAAGGAAAACTTTAATCATGTCCGAAAACAAGGACGTCAGGACCGTACCTCATCCGTTACAATTTCGGTTAATGACAAGCGCTTACATGCTAATCTATTACATGACAGATGGAATTGCAGATGGAAAAAAGATGTTATATCCCAACGATTGGAAATCAGTTATAAGGAATCTTATCTTGCACTGGTCGAAATAGTCCAAATCGGCTAGAAATCGGATGTCCGATTTTAGGCTGAATTTGGTGATAAATATGGCCGATTTATTAATTTAGGCAAAGTTCTGATTGGCAGGCCGATCGATGCCGATCAGAATGTCTGAATTGTATCTGAATTGCTTAGTATTTTTAATCCGAATTGTTTAAAAAATATTATTCATAAATTTACCG